TGTCTCTTGGGTACATGTATAAACTCCCACCACAGACAGCACAATGAATACAACAGCTACAGTGTATTTCCTGCAGCCCAAGCACCAGGTTGGTTTACAGGTGCATTTGATTGAATCCCTACAGCATAGCCAGGCAGATACTATTATCGTCTCCATTTTACAGGTGAGAAAACTGAGGCTCAGAGAGGTTAAGTAGTTTGCTTCCAGGTTACACAGTACACTGGTGGTGAAGTTGGGATCCATACCCACATTGGTTGGACTCCAAAGTCTTGCTTTTCACAATGAGGGTCTTCCAGTGTATCCCTGGTATGGCATTACCTCCCCTAAGTCAGCACCTTCAGGGTCTCCCTGACTAGAAGGATGATGGAACAGGAGACAAAGGGGCCAGATTCAAACTTAGGTCCTACCTCTTCTTAGCCACAGGGATTTGGCAAGTCTCTTTACAATGTCCTGCAAAGTAGGGAGCTACTTTGTAGAAGCCATCCACTGTAGAAAGCTTACCCCGGGCTTATGGGAGGGCATGGGGAAGGGGGCTCACCACTGCAGGGAGAGTGCCTGGGCTCCAATCACGGGGCCTCCTTTGAATCCTAGAATTATCTGTAGGCCTGGGGCATTGAAGGTTTTGGGCCAGGTCTCCATAATTAGGCTCTGGGAAAACTCCCAAGATGGTTTCACAGGATGCTGTCTTTGCTCCCCCCCCACCCCCACCACTCCTTCTGCCTTTATACATCTTCTTATCCTCCCAGTGGTGCTTCCCCTCCCCCTCTCCAAGACCCAGCTCAAGCCCTTTTTAGGAAGACTTCCCAGACCACTTCAGCCACTGCCAGCCTCTCACAGCACTGGCTCTCCAAGCCAGGTTTGGTATGTTTGCATACTTTCTGGTGGTCTTGGTGGGCAACTCCTGCCCTGTCCCTGCAAAGTGCTCAACATGGGGCTAGGCACCCTCTGCCCGCTTCTTGACTGGTGGGGACAAGCTAAGGGAGACTCACTTGGTAGACGGAGACCCCTGCGGGGGTACCTTCGAGCACTTCAGCCACAAAAGGTAGGTTCTGAAAGGTGGGGTCGTTGTCATTGAGGTCTAAGAGGTTCACGAACACTGTGGCACTGCTAGTGGCTCTCAGGGGGGGCCTGCCACCTGGGGGAACAGAGAGCAAGAGGGGGCTGAAGAGATGGTATGACAGGTGCAAGAGGAAAGGGACAGGGAAAGGCCAGTGAGAGAGGGCACAGAGCACTTTCCATCCTGATGGCCCTCCAGGAAGCAGCTGGGCCCAGCACCCCCGCCTCTGCCCCCTCGCAGCACTCTGGGAAATCACACCTGGGACCTGGGTACTACTCTACTCCTAGTGGTCAGACACAGCCCAAGATCCCCAGAGGACCAGTCACTGAGGGATGTCCACAGGCCCCTCAGCTGAGGGCCACTGCCCCAGGTGTGTGGGGGCCGGGAGGGGTGCGAGGGGTCCGTACAGTCAGTGACGGAGACAATGATCTTGCGCATCAGCTCCGCCTCGTGCGGATCAGGGTTCTCCCGGTCCAGCATGACGTGGCTGGTGCGGATCTTGCCCGTGGTGCTGTTGAGGCTGTAGAACTTGTTGGGCGGCTGGATGCTGTACACCAGGGTGCCATTCTCCCCCAGGTCCGGGTCCACAGCCACTACCTGCCACAGGAGGAACAGGCCACTCCACTGAGCCCCGCCTAGGCAGGTGTCTCTGGGCCTGCTTAGGGTTATGTAAGTTCACACACTAGTCCCAGGTACCCTTGACATAGTTCCAGGAAGTGGGCCTCCCTCCTGGCCCCCATGGGGGGGGTGGTCTGATGAGCATCAGCAGGCAGGAGGTTCAGAAAATGAATGAGCAGTGGCCTTTGTGCTCTGGAAAAACCCATCAGTTTTGACTATAGGTGTGTCCTTTTTTCCAGTTAAGCCTGGGCGCCCCTGACGTATAAAAGTGGAGGCGGTAACCCTGCCTCACCCTAATATACCTGACAGCACCTAGCACACACCTGCATACGGTAGGCACCCAATGAGATCTCAGAGGGCTCCTTGTCCAAGCTGAGATCCCCTGTGCCTGACAATCCCCTGCTCTGTAGAGAAGCTCTCTAATCATCCACAAAGGGAAAGCAGAGCCCTGAGAGGCAAAGGCCAGACTAGAGGTCACACAGCACCAGCCTGGGAGCCAACCCAGCTCCCAGCCTGGAGGGTCCTTGAGGTCCAGGACAGCAGTGGCCCTCACTCCTAGCTCACCCTCCACCCTGGGGTGTCAGACTCCAGGACACTCAGTGATGACAGGCAGGCCATGTCAGCTCCTTCATCTCACTTGATATGGAGCCTTTTGTGCTTTGGCAGCAGAATCTGTCCCTCTTCCACTTAATCCCCAGCCAGAGGTGTCTCTGGGGCCACCAGACCAGAACAAGACAGATGGGCTCTCTGGCCGAGAACGCCTACCTGCCCGCAGCACTGGGGCCTGGGGAGGACAGCAGGAGTGGCCCATGTGGGTTGGACCCCTGTACCAGCTTAGGCCTGCTTCTGCTTCACAGTGGGAGGCAGCCCCTCCTCCCACCTCAGACTGCTCTGCCCACCTCTCTCACCTCCAGCCTTGGAGCACCAAGAGGGAGGGGAGGAAAGGTCCTCAGGTGCCCTCATCATGCCGGGGGCATGCTGCTTCAGTTTCCCCAGCCTCCACCACCATTGGACCCCACCACCCCAATTTTGAAAACAGGAGATGAGGCTTTTGGCACTCCAGGCATCGCTGAAAGCAGGCAAAGTCATTTTACTGGTGGACAAAGAGCACACCCCCTGCATTTCTACAATGCTTCTCTCAACAGTTAGATAGGGAGAGACTTTTTATACCCATTTTTCTGGATGGGGAAACAGCAGTTAAATGACCTGTTCCAGGCCAGCAGCCTGCTGCAGAATGTGCTTAGATCAAAAGGGGGCTTCTCTACTTCTCTCCCCTATTCCTGACCCCCCATGCCAGAGAATGCCTGTTAATCTCCTTTTACAGATGAAGAAACTGAGGCACAGAGAGCCTTA